TAGCATATCGGGACTTGTTGTTGCTAGGGCACTCTGGGGTAAGGGGGAATGGACGTCATCCACAGTTAGAACATAGCATATCAGGACTTGTTGTTGTTGCTAGGGCACTCTGGGGTAAGAGGGAATGGACGTCATCCACAGTTTAAACATAGCATACCAGGACTTGTTGTTGCTAGGGCACTCTGGGGTAAGAGGGTATGGACGTCATCCACAGTTAGAACATAGCATATCAAGACTTGTTGCTAGGGCACTCTGGGGTAAGAGGGAATGGACGGGTGGATTGGCTTGCTGGCAGGGCCACCGTAGATACATGACAAGCAATAGACTGGGTCGATGTCCTCAGTAAGGCTTGATGAGTATTATACTACGAGAACTTCGTGTTGCTAGACATGAATACTATACAGGTAGCCAAAGAAGAATAGTAAACCAACAAAAACTGCAGCGAACAGTTGCTACACACTGAGGGATATCTGAAGAAAGGATCCCACCGCTTATAGGTATGTCTGAAGTGAAATGAGGATATTAGCTTGATTAATCTATTTCAGGGCTATTGACTGACTGATGTTGAAAACAATCAAGACCGCAAAACTAGCTATGAACACCCGGTGACCCGAAATTCTAACATTAAGATGTGAATCACCCCGGCACACGTCCTAGAATCCCCGTTCAACCGCTAGGTTATATTTAGGGTCTCTGACTACAGCTAAGGTGGGGCTTTAAATACCCCCCCCCCCCACCTTTTTTTTCCAAATGCATTCTATATTGGGACGGAGATTTGGGTAATTGGCGACACGACTATTAATACCATTGCTCCCCGTGTGGGTTCCGGGGCCCTAATATGGGGGAGAGGGGGGAGGAATAGACCCACTGCCTACCCAAAAGCATGTCGTAAGAGTCGACTAATTGAGAGCTTGCTTCTAAGTCGGAGTGCATCTGTCTGAGATGCAAGGAACCAACAGTCTGCATCCATATTAGTCGGGTCTGTCAAACGAATGCACACGCACCACTCAGGTTCTGGAACAGGACTGCAGTCCAGAAGTGGATGAACAACCAGAACTTTCTGCCGGAGTTTACAGCCGGTGAACGCAAAGAAGAAGGAGGAAGAAGACTGCTGTTGCAGTTTGAGGATTGAACAACGGATCAACATCATGGCACACGGGTAGTGACCCATAAATGCACCCTTCTTCTTCTAATTTAAGTCTGAGTCAGAAGAAGCTCAGCACAGTGCACAGGATCTGTAGCACCGGCGAGGATCCTGAAATACTTTGGGTAGATTTTCAATTCCAAATTTTGCCAGAGTAGAGCCGTTAGGCTGCTCTTTTTTATTTCCAACTGCCATAGATTTGTTTGCGTGCTCAATAATACACACAGGTGTCCTATCCTACTACCCAGAGACCAGTGGAAATTGCTAATAGTCACCGGGGCCTGAACTGGGACCTCCAGCACTCGAGGCCAACACCATGCCTTGAGACCACACAGCCCCACTAGCAAAAGACAGACACGGTATCTAACTCTGCGACACTTTACGAAATAAGCAATATGAGAAAAGAACAACAACAAGATGCTCATCCTAAGTTATTTTCTAATTTCTTAGTCTTCCTCTGCTGCTGCTATTTTCCACTCATTCTCTTATCCTCCTCAGTCCTCTTCCTTCCCTCTTCCTTTTCCGTCCTTATTCCTAATCGTTCTAACTTCCTCATCTTTCCTTATTCTTCACCGCATCTTCCTTTGCTTGACGTTGTTGCTACTAATATTTCTGCAGCTGTTGCCCTTAACCTCCCTCACCTGGATCTATTGCCGTGCGCATTATACTTTGGTGCACTAAAGATACAGCATGCAGGGCACTGCGGTACCTCCTTGGTTTTACAACAATGGAAGCTAGAGTAAGGATCTGTCGATCACACGCCTACCTCAGAGTCAGTGCCGATACACAACACACAATGCACAGTGAAGTCAGGAAAAGAAAAGGCAGCAGATTAAAGAGAGGAAAATCATGGATGGGTCAGGCCTAGGATATTATACAAGAGTTGAGGACACAGCACTTAGGGAAAAATGGGTACGGGTACCACCAGTGTGTCATACATCCTTTGAAGTATGCACCAAGATAAATAGATCATGCAGACATCATCTTGATACGGCCTTGATACGTGAGAATTCTTCTGAGGGCGTTGTGATCATCGACAGACAGGTCTGTCATTCAAAATGTCAGGAGCTCGTCGGAGGGAGAACTATCAAAGAAGACTTCGGCGCCTTCGCCTTGACGACAGCAGTTTGACTGTGAAGGTCATGGCAGCAACTAAAGCAATAGCCTGGCTAGAAACACAAGACATTCACCCAGGCATGCTTTCTCACCGATTCAATAATTATGCTCAAGAAGATCGACGAGGGTTGCATACGAAGACAACGTAAAAGATCTAGGCTGACAAAAATTAGCTTCATATTTGGTCCGTGGCATTTTAGTGTAAAGGGCAATGAATGAGCTGACAGACTTGCAAGTGATACTTATGTGGGAACCGGACGAGCAATGGACAGGGCTGATATACTGAACGCCCTCAGAGAAGCGGCTCTATTAAACGAATCAAGTAATGATCGTGAATCTGCAACACTGACGAGACTACACCAACATAACATCAAAAGGGGGAAAGCCAGACAAGAGCGCTACACTGGGGTCCAAAGAAGAATAGTAAACAAACACCAAACTGGTGTCATAAGCCACTGCACGCTGAGGGAGATACTGAAGAGGGGATCTGAGCACTTATGGACTGGATGGTTTGATGTGTGATGATGATGATAATATGTCGACTACCTAACCAACTAACTAAATAATCAACTAACTAGCCTGGATCTATACACCTGTATGTATATATGTATGTAAGTTGTACCCCACCAGGACATCACACAAAGCGATAAACACCCGGTGACACAAAGTGCCACCATGCGGATGAGGATCACCCTTAGAGAGGTCCCAGAAACCCCGTTCAGCCGTTAGGCCATGTTCACGGTCCGGCTATATTTAGCCCCCCCCCCCCCTTTCCGGCAAAAGCCAGGGTGGGGCTTCAAATAACGAAACATTGCATATTACATGGGGACGACCATTCTAACATTATAATATACACCTGTCAATGCTGGTGTAAAGGGTAACGAGCGAAGGGAAGAACTAGCAAGCGATGCACCAACGCATATGTGGAGGAGCGCGGACAGAGCAGATATAATCAACGCTGTAAGGACTGGGCTAGTGGATAATGACGAATCTCTGACACTAACACGATTGCGTGACATAGGAATAAAACGCCGTGAAGCACGTCTTTTCCGCCTTCGAGGCCAAGATAGGAGAAATTATAACCAGCTTGCTAGTAGAAGTACCTTGGAGTGGCTGCTGAATCGGAGGACTGAGCACGTATAGGAATGCCCAGTGTGCAGAGACGTCGATTGTGATAACATAACATCATCATCAATCAGCAAGTCCTTTACAGAACTCGCTGTCTTCACGGCACGCCTGAAAGTATCCCTTTCCCTAGCCAGCTCTCCGGCCCCATGAGCTTTCAATGCCAATGCTTCTTCATTGTCCTGTATCCATTTTCGCCGTGGTCGACCCCTGCTTCGCCTTCCACAAACTGCACTCTTTATCACCGTCTTTTCCAAGCTACCATGACGCTTGATGAGGCCAAAATACTTCAACTTTCGGGACAGGATGCTGTTTATGAGCCAGTTCTCCCTGATGTTCAGCTCGTTTAGAATGTCTATGTTTAATATAACATAACAGCTGCAATTTATTTTGTCACATTAATATATCATCATCATCATCAGGTGCCTTGCCGACTAGCGTGGACGATCATGCCTCTCCACAATCAGCGATCTCCTGCAGCATGTATAAGTTCGTGTGCCGACACACCTGCATGCCATGCAACAAGTCTGTCAAGTATCTTCTCTCGTTGTCTTCCTCTATCACTCCTTCCACAGATCTTTCCAGTGGTCACAATATGTTCTATTTTCCCTCTTCTCGTAACATGGCCGAAAAATGATGACTGTCTCCTTCTGATGTCTGTGATAAGTTGTCTTCGGACTCCCGCCTCATACAAAACCTCTTGGTTGCTCTTTTTGGATGTCCAAGGTATTCTAAGCATTTTTTTTTGTAAAATCACATCCCCGAGGCCTCAAGAAATTGTTTGACCTGCCTACTGATTGTCCAGGATTCACAGCCATATGTTAAAAATGGATGTATGTAGCAAGCAAGAATTATTTTTCTAACTCTCAATGACAAGGATATAATGCACAAGATGTTCTTCATCTTATAAAATGCAGTTTTTGCTTGTCCTATTCTGTGTTTTTTTTTTTTTAAATCTCAGTTATGCATCTTCCATCCTATGTTATTCATGTGCCCAGATACTTAAATTTCCGTACTTGTCCCAAAATAACACCATCGACTTTTATTATACATTTAAAATTAATTCGTTTCTTTTGGTACCACCATTACCGCTGTCTTCCCATTATTCAATCTGAGGCCCATTCTTCCACTTTCTAACACCACAATGTCCATCATTTCCTGTAGTTCTTTCTGACTTGTTGCTATCAAAACTGTGTCATCAGCATAACGTAAATTGTTTATATTGTGCCCACCAACCACAATTCCGGGCATATCAATAAAAGATATCATTATATATTCACTGTATATTGAAAACAAATTAGGTGACAGTACACATCCTTGTCGCACGCTCTTCTTTATGCTTTGAAATGTACCTAAACAGTTGTTAATTCTTATAGCTGCTGTTTTCTGCCAATACATATTCTTTATTATTCGTAGATATTTTCCATCAATGTTTAATTTTGCTAAAAGTTTGATTACTTCTTCATGCTTCACACAGTCAAACGCTTTTGTATAGTCTATGTAGCATAGGTACAAATCAGTACAAATCAAATTAATACACGAAGCTATTATTTAAACCTAAGCAAATCTACGACCGGAAATTTGAACGATCACCGGAATAACCTTGTACTTCATGATGGCGGCGATCACAACAGTCAGAGTTACAGGGCTCTTTGGCCGTCAGTAATTTTTCTTTTCATGTGACTGTGCATGCATGTACACTTGTTCAGATATAGAACACAGTAATACACAAATCGTAGAGTTAGATTAAGTAAATTAAGTACCTTCTGGGCCTCGACACGACAGAAAAGAAAAATCAAAATTAGTCTCTCTCTCTGTTAATAATCAACACCTCAGCTGGGTGCTGAAGTGCATGCAGTTATTAGGTACTTTAGTCAAATTTTTAAAATGCCCTTAACACCAATAAAACCAGCACAGTTAGATAGCTGTAAACAATCTCTTTCCAATGGTACCTCATTAAGCCTTGTATGTCATTTCTGAGCTGAGATATGTAGGTTTTTGTGGAGATAAGATGTAAAAAAACAGCTGCTAAAACTAAAACTTGTGTCTGAGAAACAAGAAGTTTTCTCTGCGCAACCAAACTGAAACTGCGCAGCTTTCGTTTTGGCTTTGTTTTCATTGGACAAGATGGCAGACAATTTTTCTCAGACACAGCCACATAATAGCGATTGCCTGAAAAAATGTCACTGTAAATCTGAACAGCCACTGACAAAAAAGAAATTTTGGCGCTTCTTTGAATCGTTCCCCAAAATGGCGGCTTTAATATGATGGCGTTCAAAAAGGAGCTAAATTGGCCTATTTCTAGCCATAAAATATCCAAAAACATCAGAATGCGGGGTCAGTTCTATTAAAAATATATGTGCCGGCTCCGAATAACGAAACAAATGCTCTGACAGGGTCTGGGCGATACGTTGCTTGCCGACCTGCTTCTGCGAGTGTGCCTCACCGCCGAGCGTATCCCCCGCGCCGCTACGCGCGGCTCGGATGGGGGCTAAACTAGATGGCTGGGACTCACGAGTGGCAGCTACCGCATCTCCTGCAACTTCCTCCAATTACTGCACTCGTGAGTCCCAGGCACCTAGATACGCTCGGCGATGAGTTTAATCACGTTTGGCGCATGCCGACAAGTCTGACATCTACCGCTGCTAAATCCTCTAATCGGAAGAACACAGTATTGCTAATCGTTTTCATCGTCTGTAATGTCTTGAAATTGGTCAATGGTCGCTAATATCGTCTGCTAGTATCGGCGTCGCAGAAACGTTCGAAATTTTTGTCAACGGTTGGTATTTATCGTCTGCTACTAGTACCGTGTGCAATGTTGATAGTAATTGTCAAGTAATCCTAGTTTTGCCGCGATTTGTCCCTTGGCAGACAGTCCGTATTTTAGATATACGGGAACACCGTCGTTCGGATAATTTTGGATATTTTATGGCCAGAATGTGGCATGCCGCCATTTTGGGGAATGGATCAAAGAAGCGCCGAAATTTTATACACAAATGTAAAATTGGACGGAGAATTCAATTATAACTAGCATTACCATGTCTGGTAATGTTTAAGGCCTAAAGCCAACCTTGAATACTTTACCGCTATTTTCAATCAAACTGATGTAACAGAAAAACAGAGGACGTCCGGCTGTCGTAGACATGCGCTGTTAATCGGATTCGTTCCCGCCGTTTTCAGCTTTTCATAGCTGGTGAAAATCACACCAATCGCAAATTTTCATGAGAGATTAGGACCCATCCGAAACCCCATTTCTCAAACAAGTTTCAAATGGTTTCCATGGTAAAGGAAATTGCCAAAAAGACCGCAAATTGTCGAAACTGTAGTCGCTACAGTATTTAGTCTTGCTACAATGTTCAGGAAACTGACATGTTTCCCAAACGTTGCTACATTTTACCACAATTAAGGCAGAAGTGTACTTAGTCTTGATCTCTTGTATATTTTCACTAGGCTGGTTAAAGTTAAGTTGCAAAGTAGCTACTTTAGTCAAATTTTCAAAATGCCATCTATCTACACCAATAAAACCAGCACAGTTAGATAGCCGTAAACAATCTCTTTCCAACGGTACCTCATTTAGGCTTGTATGTCATTTCTGAGCTGAGATATGTAGGTTTTTGTGGAGATGAGATGTAAAAAACAGCTGTTAAAACTTGCGTCTCTTCGCAACCAAACTGTGCACTTTCGTTTTGGCTTCATTTACATTGGAGATTAGAGCGTGTAGTCATAGCGATTGCCTGAAAAATGTCACTGTAAATCTAAAAAGCCACTGATAAGAAAGAAATTTTATATACAAATGTAAAATTGGATGGAGAATTCAATTATAACTAGCTAAAGCCTAACACCAACCTTGAATACTTACCAAATTTTCAATCAATCTGATGTAACAGAAAAACAGAGGCTGTCGTAAACTTGTGCTTGTAATCGGGTTCATTCCAGCCGTTTTCAGCTATTTATAGCTAGTCCAAATTCACACCAATCACGAAATTTCATGAGAGATTTGGACAAGTTTCGAACAGTTTCCGGGTAACGGAAATTGTCGAAAAGACCGCTAATTGCCGAACACCGTAGTCGCTAATGTCAGTTTCCTGTCTCTCGAACAGCGAGAGTATGCCCGATTGTCTTGTCATTGTGCCCGAGTGTCTTGTCATTGTGCCCGATTGTCTTGTCATTGTGCATGAATGTCTTGTCATTGTGCCCGATTGTCTTGTCATTGTGCCTGAATGTCTTGTCATTGTGCCTGATTGTCTTGTCATTGTGCCTGAATGTCTTGTCATTGTGCCTGAATGTCTTGTCATTGTGCCCGATTGTCTTGTCATTGTGCGCTTACTATAACATTGTACCCCTGATGGGGATCCCAAAAGACTCTTTACTTCCTCTGTCTCTCACAGGCCTGATCTACTTCTGGTGGTGTTGTAGATTATTATTACTAATCTCTCATGGGAAGAATTAGTAGAAGTACCTCTGGGAATGCCAAATGTGCAGTGACATCGATTGTGATTTTTTTGTAAACAACACTTTGGGAAGAAGAGGTGGGGGGGCGGTGTAGGTCTGCAACAGAAGTTCAGGTGATATGATAATTTTCAAGCCATAAAGTAGAGAAGGGGCAACTGAGGTCATGAATTAGAAGTTTATGAAACGGAATTGCCCAATTCTTTTATTCTAAGCAATATATGATCTGTGATTGACTTTTTACTTGAAAATAAACCATGCCATCATATGTTCTGACTTATTTACATTGACTTCAGCATAATGAAGAAATCTGGCATGCAGTGTATTCATTCCACTATTTTAAGGCTATTTGAGTCATGAAAACATAAAATCAACCAGAACAAGAATCAGAACTCCCAACTTTTCAGTAAAAAACAATCAGATATGACAAAATTAAATTTATTGCTAGAACGCTCCACAAACATAAAAAAAACAAAACATGTACAGTAGTAAAACTGCATAAAGTTACAAGTCAGGTGGATTGATTTCATTGCACCGGGTTATCTAAAACAAACTCCTTAACTCCAGTAATGATCTCTGGAGATCTTCATCTGCATTTTGGGAGCTGAATGTTATGTCTGTGAAACAAACCCATGGCTTTCAGATGCAAGGTAAATGACTGGAACTACACCACCAAGCATACTCCCCCCTCCAACTTCATAAAGGACCCTTTTCCATGATCCTCTGTACATCTCTCAGGGCAGTCATGGAACCAGATGCTGAGAATCAACGGCTGTATCTCTGTCCAGCACCGACAGTCTTCGGAGAAGGTCCCTGTCAAGTTAACAGCTATGAAACGTGGCACAGGGGGGCGGAGCTCTTTCAGTGGTATTGTTGCTACAGTGTTTGGAGCCACCGGATACCTTGGTAGACATGTGTGTAACAGTTTAGGTGAGAAGTTTTGTTTTGAGTTCTCACTATTTGAATACAAGCTTGTTCCTGTCTGTTTTAAAACCTGTCTTTTCTCCATATTAATACTAGCTTTTCTTCTCTATCTTGATGCCATCCTTTTTTTCTATTTTAATACAAGCCTTTTCTTTTTCTTTTAATGCAAGCTTTTCTTCTCTATTTGAAGATAGGCTTTTTATCATTTTCAAAAATTAAAATTACAAGCTTTTTCTTTCTATTTTAATACAATCTTTTTTTTATCCCTGTGGGGCACTGTTATAGGGAAAACAAATATAGACCCACTGCCTACCCAACAGAGTCAACTAATTGGGAGCTTCTTTTAAAGTCAGTGCATCTGCCTGAGAGGCAACGTGGCCTCTAGATATCACTTCAGATCGTTTATGTGTAGCGCCTGCATTGACAGTTATTCTGGCTGCATTCTTACTAAACGACCAAACCATTTGGTCCCTGTTTCTCAGTGAATTTGCTGCATGGTGTTGTTCCTACAGTCTGTCTGATAATATCATTTCTCACTTTGTCTCACATGGCTGTAGTTAAGTTAGCAGCTTTTCTCCAGCATCTCATTTCGTAGGTTTAGCTTAGTAATATGTACTAATCGTACGAATGGTTTAGACCCAGTTTTCTGCTCATCTTTCTTTCCAGATTTCCCCAAAATGAGATGTCCATTTCCTGAGACTAGGTCAGCTGCAGGCCATAATGGACAGGACATAACCCTGACACTGTGGATCACTTCTGCTGTTGTCGGGTGCCCTAATATAACTAGCGGTTAAACAGGGTTTCTGGGACTTGCGTCTAAGTGATTATTTCATCCAGAGGTGGTACTTTGTGTCACCAGGTGTTTATTGCTCGTTGTGTGGTCCTAGTAGGGTTGAACTTCATTCATTTAAATGGAGTGTGGTTGGACACACACACACCCCCCCCCCCCCTTTGTTTTTCTTTCCGCCCAACAAAAAAATGGGCTCTGAACCCACATAAGGTCATTGAGTGCTAACTGGCACATAAAATATATCATTATACCGGACCTCCAGGGCGACCCAGGGTCCATTGGGAGGACAGCATCCGACAGTCTCTAACTGACAGAGGACTGAAATGGAACAAAGCCAGAAAGAAAACTGCTGATAGAGAAGTCTGGCGATCTCTCTACACCCCAAGGTAGAAAAGGAGAAAGTATTATATGATCAATGAGCAGTTGGCATAAACAGAATTCTTGACTTCACTTTTTACTTATTTTCTCACAGGCTTCTGAGTAACGGTTTTTTTTTTCCTGGGATCTTTATTAGGAAAAATTGGATCACAACTGATAATCCCTTATCGGTGTGAGGCTATTTATACAACCAGACTGAGGCTAGTGGGCGATCTAGGACAAGTTCTCTTTTTTGTAAGTGCATGAGCTTTTTTTTTTCTGTACCTATGTGCTTGTATTTTTGAGTGTGTCAGGTGTCTTGGGGGTGTCTAATGATTTGGGAACTGACTTTTCTGAAACGCCTGACCAGATTCGGTCACCTATTGTGGTTAGTGATTGGAGTTTAACCAGCAGTGCATTGGGTGTCATTTTGTCATAGTTGTTAGTGAAGTGACCTTTTCCAACACTGCCCTCGGTTGTATTTTGTCACAGTGGTTAGTGCACTTTTCCTCTCCAAGAATGCATTGTGGTTAGGTTCAATCGGGGTTAGTGAATTGACCGTTCTAACAGTACATTTGGGTTCAGTCTCATATTGATTGATGAATGAACTGTTATTAGTGCAGGTCACTAAGGTTCATTCTCTCATATTGATTGATGAATGAACTGTTATTAGTGCAGGTCACTAAGGTTCATTATCCCATATTGATTGATGAATGAACTGTTATTAGTGCAGGTCACTAAGGTTCATTCTCCCATATTGATTGATGAATTAACTGTTATTAGTGCAGGTCACTAAGGTTCATTCTCTCATATTGATTGATGAATTAACTGTTATTAGTGCAGGTCACTCAGGTTTAGTCTCCCATATTGATTGATGAATGAACTGTTATTAGTGCAGGTCACTAAGGTTCATTCTCTCATCATTGATTGATGAATTAACTGTTATTAGTGCAGGTCACTAAGGTTCAGTCTCTCATATTGATTGATGAGTGAACTGTTATTAGTGCAGGTCACTAAGGTTCATTCTCTCATCATTGATTGATGAATTAACTGTTATTAGTGCAGGTCACTAAGGTTAATTCTCTCATATTGATGAATGAACTGTTATTAGTGCAAGTCACTAAGGTTCAGTCTCTCATATTGATTAATGAATGAACTGTTATTAGTGCAGGTCACTAAGGTTCATTCTCCCATATTGATTGATAAATTAACTGTTATTAGTGCAGGTCACTAATGTTAATTCTCTCATATTAATGAATGAACTGTTATTAGTGCAAGTCACTAATGTTCAGTCTCTCATATTGATTGATGAATGAACTGTTATTAGTGCAGGTCACTAAGGTTCATTCTCTCATATTGATTGATGAATGAACTGTTATTAGTGCAGGTCACTAAGGTTTATTCTCTCATATTGATTGATGAATGAACTGTTATTAGTGCAGGTAACTAAGGTTCATTCTCCCATACTGATTGATGAATGAACTGTTATTAGTGCAGGTCACTAAGGTTCATTCTCTCATATTGATTGATGAATGAACTGTTATTAGTGCAGGTCACTAAGTTCATTCTCTCATATTGATTGATGAATGAACTGTTATTAGTGCAGGCCACTAAGGTTCATTCTCTCATATTGATGAATGAACTGTTATTAGTGCAGGTCACTAAGGTTCAGTCTCTCATATTGATTGATGAATGAACTGTTATTAGTGCAGGTCACTAAGGTTCATTCTCCCATATTGGTTGAAATTAACTGTTATTAGTGCAGGTCACTAAGGTTAATTCTCTCATATTGTGAATGAACTGTTATTAGTGCAGGTCACTAAGGTTCAGTCTCCCATATTGATTGAAGAATGAACTGTTATTAGTGCAGGTCACTAAGGTTCAGTCTCCCATATTGATTGATGAATGAACTGTTATTAGTGCAGGTCACTAAGGTTCGTTCTCCCATATTGATTGATGAATGAACTGTTATTAGTGCAGGTCACTCAGGTTCATTCTCTCATATTGATTGATGAATGAACTGTTATTAGTGCAGGTCACTAAGGTTCATTCTCTCATATTGACTGATGAATGAACTGTTATTAGTGCAGGTCACTAAGGTTCAGTCTCTCATATTGATTGATGAATTAACTGTTATTAGTGCAGGTCACTAAGGTTCAGTCTCTCATATTGATTGATGAATTAACTGTTATTAGTGCAGGTCACTCAGGTTCATTCTCCCATATTTATTGATAAATTAACTGTTATTAGTGCAGGTCACTAAGGTTAATTCTCTCATATTGTGAATGAACTGTTATTAGTGCAGGTCACTAAGGTTCAGTCTCCCATATTGATTGAAGAATGAACTGTTATTAGTGCAGGTCACTAAGGTTCAGTCTCCCATATTGATTGATGAATGAACTGTTATTAGTGCAGGTCACTAAGGTTCGTTCTCCCATATTGATTGATGAATGAACTGTTATTAGTGCAGGTCACTCAGGTTCATTCTCTCATATTGATTGATGAATGAACTGTTATTAGTGCAGGTCACTAAGGTTCATTCTCTCATATTGATTGATGAGTGAACTGTTATTAGTGCAGGTCACTAAGGTTCATTCTCTCATCATTGATTGATGAATTAACTGTTATTAGTGCAGGTCACTAAGGTTAATTCTCTCATATTGATGAATGAACTGTTATTAGTGCAAGTCACTAAGGTTCAGTCTCTCATATTGATTAATGAATGAACTGTTATTAGTGCAGGTCACTAAGGTTCATTCTCCCATATTGATTGATAAATTAACTGTTATTAGTGCAGGTCACTAATGTTAATTCTCTCATATTAATGAATGAACTGTTATTAGTGCAAGTCACTAATGTTCAGTCTCTCATATTGATTGATGAATGAACTGTTATTAGTGCAGGTCACTAAGGTTCATTCTCTCATATTGATTGATGAATGAACTGTTATTAGTGCAGGTCACTCAGGTTCATTCTCTCATATTGATTGATGAATGAACTGTTATTAGTGCAGGTCACTAAGGTTCATTCTCTCATATTGATTGATGAATTAACTGTTATTAGTGCAGGTCACTAAGGTTCAGTCTCTCATATTGATTGATGAATTAACTGTTATTAGTGCAGGTCACTAAGGTTCATTCTCCCATAGTGGTGAGTGATCATGCCTGCAGTGAACTTGGATTCAGTCTGTTATAGGGGTTAGTGAATCGATTTTAGGAACAGTGCACTGGTACTCACCAACATTGCACTGGAGTTTAGTCTCTTATTGTCACTTTCACACTAGCTTGGCCCAGCAGTGCACCATGGTTCAGTCATCCATTGTGGTTAGCAAGCTAGTTTGTGCTGTCAGTGTCCTGGGATTCAGTCTTCCATTATAATTAATAATCAAAGTTTATTTACTTTTTAACCCTTTCGCTGCTGCGCCCTCCACCAGCCAACGTAACCACTGTGCTAAGCCAGGCGAGAGCTAATCTTTCCCCCTGTGCTGAATACCGTTTTTTCCTTCAAAAGCAGAAGACGCGCTTGCGGCACGTGGTAAAAATTGTACACCTAAAATAAAAAATCGTTGAAGGCGTATGGTTGAACTTTGCTCTGACAAGTCAGACGCGCTATTACTACGCCGTGAAAACTCATTAACAAAAATAAAACATTACAAACTTACAAAGCAAACACAAAACACTTTAGTGAGCAAATACATGGTTTTTATTATTATTAATAATATCTTTGTGTGTGAAATATTTCAAAACAAGGTGCGACACACAATGTCAAATCACATTCCTTGCACATGTATCTGGTTTTCCGTCGTTTTTTGCTTTTTGCGCATACCACACACTTTCTGGTTGGGAATTTTTTCTGCGATGCTACGGACTCTTATTATTGAAGGGAAATGCCTTTGTACTAAACGAAGTGGCAGATCTTCACTTGTTTGTCCTCCTACACTTTTTCTCTTTTCCTTGCAATATTTATGTAGAATTTCTCTTACTAACATTAAGTGAAATTCGGCAACAGGTGTGTTTTTCCCCACAACAACTTTATATAATGAATGTGCACAGTACACCAACCACGCTTCACATAACGTGTAAAGCATCTAAATCCACCTGAACGCACGTGACAGGATGTTTAATTAATTATTACTTTGGTTATCTGTTGCCGAAAATGCTAACAGCTTAAATTTAAAATTTGCATTCAAAATAATTAATTTTAAAAAAAAAACGGCACGTTGGGTTTGAACGCTTTACCTTTCGATTGTAAGGCAGACGTGATACCAACTACACTAGAAATTCACATGAAACTATAAACTGAAAAAAGACCAGTATTGTACACTTTAATAGACAAACACATTTATGTCAGTTGTATAGTATATAATTAACATTAATATTAATCATCACGTCAGTACGTGATCATATCTTTTTTTTGATTATTTTGGATCCGTTTAAAATCTAGTGGATGTAGATAGCTAGGTCGTATGGTCGCTGGTCAGTCTTGTTCACAGCCAGAAGTACACGTGTCCGCAGGCGTGCCGCGACGATAACCCAGCTCATATAACGCACACGTTTCAAAGTGATCCTTACTACTACTCCTTGAAAGAAACTCAATTAATTCTTCTTTTTTTAAACAAATGTTCTTGTTATTTTGTATTTTAAAAAAAATTAGACTACCGCAAAACCAGAAATATATTTCAGGGCAAAAAAATTACCGATCACCGACAATGCTTCTATGGTAACAAAGAAACAGGATAACGTGAAATGCATCTAAATACGCCTAAACTCACTTGATAAGGGTTTTAATTGTATGTAAACGGGTCAGTTTGATCAGATTAAGTTAATGTGTATTGCTATTTCACCCCTAAAAATTACTGTCCTTAGCAATCTGTAAAAAAATGTCCAGATCGAGATATCTCGTCCTTAGCAGTGAGGGCACAGAAAATTGCAGCCGAGTTATCTCGTCTTTAGCAGTCTGCCGGGCAGACGAGTTATCTCGTCCATAGCAGCGAAAGGGTTAATTAATTATTTATGAATTTCGTTAGATTTCTCCTGACATGATAAAAAAAATCTTTTGAGAATATGGAAGTCAAGGGATGTGGTTTCTGAGGCCCCATTGGGTGGGTGGAGGGAATAACCGCCCCCTAAAGAGCATGCCATAAGAGTTAACAATTAGGAGTGTTTCCTTCAAAGTCAGAGTGTATCTTCATGAAAGGTAAGAAACCAACAGTCTGCATACATATAAGCTAGATCTTCAAAATGTATAAGACCATGTCCAAAAGTGAACAAACAACCCAAACTTTGTTCTGGAGTTTACAGCCGGTGAACATTCAGTAAGAAGGCAGAAGGTTGTAGACAGAGGGGATCACTATCACCACATGGGATTAACATTGAAATGGGCAGTATACAAGGCTGTCGGAGACCACAGTAGCCTAGCAGCCTGAACTTCTTGGGTTTAAATCTAAATAGTCTCATTTATTAAACTAAAATGACTTTGGTTCCCAGGTTGGCCCAGCCTAAAATCGGTACCAGTTAATGTCCTGGGAAATAAAGGTGGCCGGCTGGATGTTGACCACATCACTTCTTGGGTACTGATTGGTCTTTACAAAATATGAATCTGGCATTGTTTGCCTGATGCACCACTGTCCTGGAAGTGGTTGTTTTTACATTAATGGGTCTCCAACCTGGATGGTAGTTGCCGGCCCCCTAGATGGACATAAGGAAGTTTTAAGTGCCTCAGTTGATTTTGCAGTATAGTTTACCTGTATAATAATCTGAATGTTGAGCTTGATCAGTCACAAAAACAACATGCCAGCTTGGTGGGGAGAGTGGTCTCAGTTGTGCCTTGTCCAGCATCAAGCAAAGAATTGCACGTCATCAAGGCAGAACAGTGTCCACCATCAAGCAAAGAATTGCACATGTCATCAAGGCAGAACTGTGTCCAACATCAAGCAAAGAATTGCACATGTCATCAAGGCAGAACAGTGTCCAACATCAAGCAAAGAATTGCACATTTCATCAAGGCAGAACAGTGTCCAACATCAAGCAAAGAATTGCACATGTCATCAAGGCAGAACAGTGTCCACCATCAAGCAAAGAATTGCACATGTCATCAAGGCAGAACAGTGTCCAACATCAAGCAAAGAATTGCACATTTCATCAAGGCAGAACAGTGTCCAACATCAAGCAAAGAATTGCACATGTCATCAAGGCAGAACAGTGTCCACCATCAAGCAAAGAATTGCACATGTCATCAAGGCAGAACAGTGTCCAACATCAAGCAAAGAATTGCACATGTCATCAAGGCAGAACTGTGTCCACCATCACACTGATAGTTGGACACTCAATTATTAGCTGTTGGTAATTGTTTCTTTTGTTGTTCAGCACTTTGATTTATGTGCGTGTTTTTGGGATCCAAGTTCTTGTTATCAGGGCTTGGGATTTTTCGGTGTGTCCTCTTTTTAAAAACATTTTGTTATGTAGGGGGGGGGGGGGGCCTTATCAGGTGCTTTATTAACATCCTACCCCAAATATGAGAAATCCGCAGGTCACGGGACAGTAATAATTCAGGGGGTGGTAGATAGGCTGCATGCATTCATGGAACCCAAGCTGCATGCAGTCGTGGGACCTAGGCTGCACTTTCTCGTAGGACATAAGTGGGTTAGGGCCAGTTATAGATGTTTTGGGGTCGTTAAAAGCATCAGAAAGCCAGGAAACCTAGTCTTACCACCCTCTAAAATGTTGGACTGTCCTGTGAAATCATCTGGGGTATGATATCACGAAAGAACCCCTTGTCATATGCTCTCGATTGAGGGGGGGGGGGGAGGGGTTGCACTGTCACCTGAAAAAGTTGGAGACCACTGATTTACACCAGGCTGTGGATATTTGATCACTGATTGAATTACAACAGACATTGAAGTTCCTACTAGAGACAACATTGCAGATGTAGATAATCTATTTCAAACAAATGAAGAAGAATATGATCACCAAATTAACTCATATGTAAAAAAAAAAAAAACATGACAGTTGCATTCTTTGTAAAAAGGATGTTACATTTTTATTCAAATTTCTATAGTTGGTTATTCACTGCTTGTTTGTATGTCACGGGAATACTAGGGGTTTCAAATGAAAACCTTCAGAAGTATGTAGAAATGATCACAAATATGCCTTTGTCTTGTCACTTGTCAGTTTTGATGTTAAGAATCCATTTGCATGTCTTATTTCTGACTCTAGCCCTTTCATCTACGAGATGAAGCAGCAATTCGAAAAGTTGTCCAGTATTCTAATGTTGTGATCAATCTTATTGGATCTGACTATGAAACAAAGTAAGTATGAATGTTGATGTTGATTTTGTTGGCGATAAACTGGTTTTTCCTCTAGGCTGCTAATTATTGTTTCTTCTTCTTCTTCACCAGCTGTAAACTCTGGTGGAAAGTTCTGATTGTTTATCCACTTCTGGTCTGCAGTCTTATTCCAGAACCTGAGTGTTGCATGTGCATCCGTTTTACAGATATGACTCATTTGTATGCAGACTGCTGGTTCCTTGCCTCTCAGACGGATGCACTCCGACTTTAAAGGGAACTACTAATTAGTCGTCTCTTACGACATGCTTTTGGGTAGGCAGTGGGTCTATTCTTGTTTTTCATATAACAGGGCCCCGAAACCCACACGGGGAACTGAAGGTTTGACACCCCTGTGATCACATCCTGGATGGTAGTCTAACAGGACAGACTCCAGATACCCCATTCTTCTTCTGAGTTCACCCTTTAAAAAAAAAAAAGTTATGTTGTGGTCTACATGAAAGCTGCAATATCTGCAACCTTTGACCCCAAATCTGATTTCAGCAAACACATAATTAGTAGCCTTTTATGGCATACTTGTTAGTTAGGCAATGGGTCTATTTATTTTGTTCCTGCCAAAATAGGACCCCAAAACCCTCACGAGAAAGATACCCCAGTCGGCCTCTTTATAAGTAGGGCATCTCTTTATAAGTAGGGCATCTCTTTATAAGTAGGGCATCTCTTTATAAGTAGGGCATCTCTTTATAAGTAGGACATCTCTGTATTAATATTGCATTTCTTTATAATCAGGGCATCTCTGTATAATCAGGGCATCTCTGTATAATCAGGGCATCTCTGTATAATCAGGGCATCTCTGTATAATCAGGGATTCTCTGTATAATCAGGGTATCTCTGTATAAATAGGGGCATTTCTTTATAATTAGGGCATTTCTTTATAATTAGGGCATTTCTTTAAAATTAGGGCATTTCTTTAAAATCAGGGCATCTCTGTATTAATATTGCATTTCTTTATAATCAGGGCATTTCTTTATAATCAGGGCATCTCTGTATAATCAGGGCATCTCTGTATAATCAGGGCATCTCTGTATAATTAGGGCATCTCTGTATAATAGGGGCATTTCTTTATAATTAGGGCATCTCTGTATAATTAGGGCATCTCTGTATAATTAGGGCATCTCTGTATAATTAGGGCATCTCTGTATAATTAGGGCATCTCTGTATAATTAGGGCATCTGTATAATCAGGGCATTTCTGTATAATTAGGGCATCTCTGTATAATCAGATCATCTCTCTATAATTAGGGCATTTCTTTATAATACAGCATCTCTTTATAATGAGGGCATTTCTTTAAATTTAGGGCATCTTAAATAGAGCTTTTGAGCCAAAATGCTGTAGAAAGATTCTCAGATTACCGTGGACAATCGCCCAGCTGTTTAAAGGCTTTTGAGCCAAAATGTTATAGAAAGGTTTTCGGAATACTGTGGACAAAGAAGAGAATAAATATTGACATTTTAAAAGATCTGAATATCAAGAAAAATTGCCTGAAAAACAGTATCTTATCTCGGCAGCTGAAATATTCTGATCATATCGAGCGCCACGGCAGATTGGAAAAATATAATAGCAGAAGACATGGTACCAGAAAGGAGGGCAGAAGACGACCAACACGATGATGGGCACAGGATAGGAGATAAGTGACTCCTTGAATATGAAAGTACAGGAGAGCTGGCCAGAGACCCAGTTTCTTTCAGATAGACCGTGATGAGAGCGACACGCTGCTACATGGTGGTGATGATATACAGTGCAGACCTGACATAGCGAACTCACCGGCAACCCAAGAAACGGCTCTTATCTGAAATGTTACTTATTCAGGTAAGAAGGTAAGAATTCAAGCAAGAAAAATTGCTGGGGATAAACAATCTGTTGTTCTTCACAACAGAAATTTACCACATCTAAGACCGCCTTACATGGTCTGCACTGTACTACTGTAAGTTAAAAGCAGTCAGCGTTCTTCGGTCAAGTGATTAGAAGAGGTGTGCAATGGTACAAGTGGGAGGATAACATCAAGAGATGAACGGGCAGCAGTCTGAGAGTGTGTACAAGCAGGATAAGAGACAGGGCATGTTGGTGATACATTGTAGCCAACCTTCACTGTGGAGACGGCACCCGATTGAATGATCATGTGAAGAGAGGCACTGGAGAACATTGAGACTGCTGAAAAGATCGACGATAGAAGAGGCGGAGGCAGACTAAGAGAAATTTTGCTTGACAGCCTGAAGCCATGGCATAGTGGTGTATCATCAGCAGAATTGATTCATAATACAGAGGAGAGACGTGAGTGCCAGCGCCTGGCCAGACACATGACGATATATGGTTTAAGCTGTCAGTTTCCTTTTCTCATTACCTTTCTGTTCTAAACTAATCCTAGAAATTATCTTCAAAGATATCAGACCAAACAAGATATCAGACCAAAAAAGATATCAGACCAAACAAGATATTGGACCAAACAAGATATTGGACCGAGCAAAAAGTAGACCAGCATTATCACAGGCACAAACGATAGGTGAACATTCTGACTAGGGAGTCTACATTGACTTACTAGACCTGCTTTGTTAACTCCAAAGGAAAGGTGGCACATTTGGAACAGAGCATGCAAAGAAGCTGCTGTATCAGAAGAGTAGTGCTTTCTCTGTCAGTCTGTGGAAGCTTGTTGTCTAGACCAGCTGCCAAGCCAAGGTTAAGGGCCTGGTCTGCCATCACTTATCAGTTGTCCAGGATAATGCAAGGTCCCTCTCCAGTCAGCTGCATTTCTCCATCCTAGGATAATGCATGGTTCCTTCCCAGTCAGCTGCATTTCTCCATCCTAGGATAATGCAAGGTTCCTCTCCAGTCAGCTGCTCTGCTTGAAGCCGTTGGCACAAGTGGGATTTCAGTTTTGGTGTACACCACTCAGTATTCAGCATTAACGGAGAACAGACTACAGAAGATGGAGCGGGGTACACATGGAAACTGGCTCCATCTGATACAGCAGGCAACGTTTCACAAAATAGCTTTTGTGTGTGTCCCAGGGCATGCTGCTATGAAAGGCAGTGGGAGAGCAGATACTCTAGCTGGTAGTGCGACTATCAGAAATGGGCCCTGTATGGACAGGACATCAGTGCCATACAAGAGATTAAACGCTGGAGGCTTTCATGTTTTGTGGAAAATGATTTTTCACTGAATAGACGGTGTACCTGGGGGTACCAGTTAGAGCCATAAGACAGGAAAACCTTGCGCGAGCCACCTGTCATTACATCAGCCAGAACAGAATGGGAGCTGTGAACCTAAAAACACTTGGAGACATACATAGGAGAAGATCGGAGCAATTATGGTCATGTCTGATGTGCAATGAAAACGATCTCAAAAATGAACAATGAACATTGAGAGAACAGATAGTAACTCAGTCATATCTGACCAAGTTAACAGAGAACAGATAGTAACTCAGTCATATCTGACCAAGTTAATAGAGAACAGATAGTAACTCAGTCATATCTGACCAAGTTAATAGAGAACAGATAGTATCAACTACTGTTATATGGTAACTCCGTCATTTTTGACACAGAACAGATAGTATCAACTACTGTTATATGGTAACTCAGTCATATCTGACCAAGTTAATAGAGAACAGGTAGTATCAACTACTGTTATATGGTAACTCCGTCATTTTTGACACAGAACAGATAGTATCAACTACTGTTATATGGTAACTCAGTCATATCTGACCAAGTTAACAGAGAACAGGTAGTATCAACTATTGTTGTACAATAGTCCAGTCAAATCTGACCCAGACCTGACTGTCACTCACAGTTGCTAGATGTCATACTGTTGTACAATAGTCCAGTCATATCTGACCAAGACCTGACTGACACTCACAGTTGCTAGAAGTCAGACTGTTGTACAATAGTCCAGTCATATCTGACCAAGACCTGACTGTCACTCACAGTTGCTAGATGTCATACTGTTGTACAATAGTCCAGTCATATCTTGACCAAGACCTGACTGTCACAGTTGCTAGATGTCATACTGTTGTATAATAGTCCAGTCATATTTGACCAAGACCTGACTGTCACTCACAGTTGCTAGATGCCATACTGTTGTATAATAGTCCAGTCATATCTGACCAAGACCTGGCTGTCACTCACAGTTGCTAGATGTCATACTGTTTGTTTTCTTTGCTGTTAGGAACTTTAGCTTTCATGATGTCCACGTTGAAGGTGCCCAGAGACTGGCCAGAATTGCCAAGGAGGCCGGTGTGGAGAAGTTTATTCATGTATCTCATCTCAATGCCAAGGAGAACCCGCAGAAAATCTGGAAGGGGTCAGACTACTTGAGATCAAAGGTCAGTCAAAATAAAAAAAAAAAAAATTAAAATTTGGGATATTGTGTTTATTGGTACATAAGCTGCACATTTTGATATACCTTTCTTCTCCATAAGGGTATACTTTTGTATAGGTTTATGAGTGTTTGTGTATGAATGCAGATATATATGTTTTCCTGTGTGGCCGCATGTGCGGATGCAGTGAGTGTGCTGCTTGTGTTTAAATAAACAGAGAGGCGGGGAGGGCATGTGGTTCATCTTCCTGAGGGCAGAGTGGCTCTAGAGCAAGCACTGCTAGCGCGCGGCGAGTGTCATTAATGGTGAACCCATGTTTTAATATCTGCAAGATTCACCTGCCCAACAGGAGAATGAAACCTGGGTTGGCATGTCTCCACAGAGTGTTAGGAAGGCATTTGTGGCAGAGAAAGGTTTGTCAAGGCACATAAAGGTTTGTCAAGGCACAGAAAGGTTTGTCACGGCACAGAAAGATTTGTCATGGCACAACAATTTTATCATGACTCAGAAAGATTTGTCATTGCATGGAAAGATTTATCAATGCATGGAAAGATTTTTGGTACAGAAAGATTTAAGAAGGCACCGAAAGATTTATCATGGCACAGAAAAATTTATCATGGCCTAGAAATATTTACCGCGGTGCAAAAGATTTGTAACACAACAGGACAATGTTGATGAAACAGTGAGTAAATTAAACCTTTTCTTTCCTTCCTATTCCTCATATGTCATGTAAATATGCAATTCTCTTGCAGTATGAGTCAGAACTGGCTGTACGTGAGGAGTTTCCCGAAGCAATCATTTTCAAACCCACTGACATGTTTGGTGAAGGGGATAAATTTCTGATGCACTATGCTTGTAAAGGTGAGTTGCTATAGATGCCTTGATGATAAATTTCTGATGAACTGTGCTTGTAAAGGTGAGTTGCTATAAATGTCTTGATGATAAATTTCTGGTGCACTATGCTTGTAAATGTAAGTTGCTATAGATGCCTTGATGATAAATTTCTGATGCACAATGCTTGTAAAGGTGAGTTGCTATAGATGTCTTGATGATAAATTTCTGATGCACTGTGCTTGTAAAGGTGAGTTGCTATAAATGTCTTGATGATAAATTTCTGGTGCACTATGCTTGTAAAGGTGAGTTGCTATAGATGTCTTGATGATAAATTTCTTATACACTGTGCTTGTAAAGGTGAGTTGCTATAGATATCTCGATGATAAATTTCTGATGCACTGTGCTTGTAAAGGTGAGTTGCTATAGATGTCTTGATAATAAATTTATGATGCACTATTGCTTGTAAAGGTAAGTTGCTATAGATGTCTTTATGATAAATTTCTGATGCACTATTGCTTGTAAAGGTGAGTTGCTATAGATGCCTTGATGATAAATTTCTGGTGCACTGTGCTTGTAAAGGTGAGTTGCTATAGATGTCTGGATGATAAATTTCTGGTGCACTATGCTTGTAAAGGTAAGTTGCTATAGATGCCTTGATGATAAATTTCTGATGCACTATGCTTGTAAAGGTGAGTTGCTATAGATGTCTTGGTTATAATTTTCTGATGCACAGTGTTAATAAATTGTAAAGAAAAGATGTTAGTTGGAAGTTCAATAATACATTTATGGTGCACTATACTTGTTAAGGTGCTATAGAAATCTTAAATTATTACTCAGTAAATTGCTGTTTGCTCTTACTCTATAATTACTATAAGCCTATAAATTGCTATTAGTCAATAAATTACTATAACTGTGTTAATTGATGTTACTCTATAAATTACTGTTACACTATAAATTGTTTTTTACTCAACAAATTCCCTGTGGGGGTTCCGGGGCCCTGTTATAGGGAAAACAAGTACAGACCCACTGCCTACCGAAAAGCATGTCGTAAGAGTTGACTAATTGTGAGCTTCCTTCGAAGTCAGAGTATATCTGCCCGAGAGGCAAGGAACCAGCAGTTTGCATACAAATGAGTCAGATCTGTAAAACAGATGCACATGCAACACTCGGGTTCTGGAGCAGGACTGCAGATCAAAAGTGGATGGACAACCAGAACTTTCCGCCAAAGTTTACAGCTGGTGAATGCAAAGAAGAAGACGACTACACGTTTCTGTTACTCTAACAACAGAGGGGAGGTGTCTGGGAACAGCTGCCAGAATAACAGGAAGAGAAAAGACTCCAGAAGAAAGCTAAGACTGAAAGAAACCAATCAAACAGTTCATTGGAGAGCAACAGATGAGAGTGTTTGGCCACCTGGCTAGAATACTCTAGTACCAACTGCCACAGAGAGGCATGCTGAAGACATATAGTGAACACAGAGCAAGGGGAATATCAAAACTATGGAACAATGGCATCAGGTACAGCTTGCAGACCAACTGATACAACTGCACAGAAGATCCTTATCCCCCACTACTTTGATAAGGTCATGGGGAGGAAGAGGAGGACAAGTAGAAGACCGTCAAATGCTGTTGTGTTACGCTACTAAATGCTGTTATGTTTAAACTGCTATTTTGTCATAATACTAAATGCTGTGTTTAAATTGCTGTTGTCATGCTACTGAATGCTGTTATGTCTAAATTGCTATTTTGTCATGATACTAAATGCTGTCTAAATTGCTGTTGTGTCATGCTACAGAATGCTGTTATGTCTAAATTGCTATTTTGTCATGATACTAAATGCTTTGTCTAAATTGCTGTTGTGTCATGCTACTGAATGCTGTTATGTGTAAATTGCTATTTTGTCATGATACTAAATGCTTTGTCTAAATTGCTGTTGTCATGTTACTGAATGCTGTTATGTCTAAATTGCTATTTTGTCATGATACTAAATGCTTTGTCTAAATTGCTGTTGTGTCATGCTACTAAATATTATGTATGAATTGCTGGTGTCATACTGCTAAATACTATTATGTCTAAATTACTGTTGTGTCATGCTGATGAATGTTGATATGCCTAAATTGTTGTGACATCATGCTACACAGGCAGATGGATTCTACAACAGTTGCCCCTGTGGAAGAAAGGAGAACAGACCATCAAGCAGCCTGTCTTTGTATGTATCACTGATCATGCTTGTGCTTTTATCAAATGACTTCTGTACTTGAAAACTGCTCAAGTCAAGTAGCTCATCTATTTTTATAACCATAGTTCTCTGTTTGGGTTCAGGGGCTCCCCCCCCCTCCCCCCCCCCCCAACCGAGCAGGCAATACATAGAAGGTGTCTAATGAGGGGTGTTTCTCTCAAAGTCGGAGTGCATCTGTCTGAGAGGGAAGGATCCAACAGTCTGCATACAAAAAAGTTTTTTTTAAATCCTACTATTAAAGAAACTATTACACACACACACACACACAAATTTCTAGAGAAATATAGCAGGGGGTGTGGTCCAAGGAAAAAGGGGCAGGAATAATAGCAGTACTGTACGATCTCAAGCACTGAGTTGTTGACAAGAGCAGGTATTGCTAGTTTTCTTAATGCTCAGTCTCTGAAGGCTCATGTGGCTGGGTCACACCTGGAGTATGCAGGAAAGAGGGCCAGGAATAATAACAGGATGTATGGTACAGAAAGGAGGGGCAGGGGCCAACCAGCATGAAGATGGGCACAGGTTATAAGTGACACCTTGGGTCAGAAAGTGCACAAGATTAGAGAATTGACAACAGACATGTTTTTTTCAGGCAGACTGCAAAGGACCTTCTACATGATGACTTGAATAATAATATAATTGTCATAGGTGGATGTTTGTGTCAGTACTGGCAGTTTGATACTGGAGCTTGAGTGTCCGTCTGAAATGATTAGAATCATAGAAATATCAGTTAATAAAATTGTGGAAAATGCTCGTGTGCTGAAAGCCAAAACCAGGATAAGGAAAGTCCTTTTCAGAGAGCTGATGATGCAGCAGTTACCACTGATTAGAGAAGGAGCTCTAGTGTTCACTGTCTGCATTTGCTGGTGCATGCTATGAATTTGGACTAACAGTCAGCAGATAGAAGACAAAAGTTACGGCGCAGCGTGTTGATAGACCTGCAGTCTACACTGATAGTGAGGAGCTGGAGACGGTTGTTATTTTACGGTTGACCAATTTAAATATCTGGGATCGACAAAAATAACAAACTATTGATGGGCCAGAATATCAACATTAGGATAGCAAAGGCAGCAACAACAATGAGCAGATTCAGAAAAAGAGTTTAGGAGAACGATTAAAACAAAAACCCTTGTCTATCAGGCTTGTGTTCTCAACACTCTGCTTTATGGCAGGGAAACTTGGTGGACTTATTCGCACCAGGAGAGACTGCTAAATAGCTTTCACATGCGATGACTAAGAAGAATACTTTGCATTAAGTGGCAGGACAAAATCACAAACACTGAGGGATTGGAAAGAGCAGGTACTACAACAGTCTTCTCATTGCTGAATCTACAAAGGCTCAGGTGGCTGGGTCACATCTGGAGAATGAAGAATGTCAGATTCCCTAAGGACATAGGCAGCCGGTACTAGGATATAAAGATGGGTGCAAGCAGTACATGAATGATACAGGTGTTGAGATAGATTCATGAGAACAAAATGCAATGAATTATTTTGCTTAGAGGGGGCAAATCAGGAAGGTATTGAGAATGAAGAAAGAAATTATTGCAGAAAGGATGAGAGCTGAGCGTCTGAGAAGAAACACACAAAATACATGAGATGGCAACAATGCTCATTAAATTCCATGCTGTAACTGTGGACAACTTGTCTTCATATGGACGGGTCTTGATTGTCACACTCGCCATCACCATGGGCTGTGGATCCCATGCCTCCTCATAACGTCTGGACAGGGCGAAAGGTGCCAACAACAAAATTATGGAAGTATCAGAATAAATAAAATCATAGAAGTGTCAGAATGATTAAAAGCATACAGAGTGATTAGAAGCATGGAAGTTTCAGAATAACTAGAATTATGAAAGGTTTTAGAATGATTAAATTATGGAAGTGTTGGAATGATTAAAAATCAAGGAAGTTTTTGAGTGGTTAAAATCATGGAAATTTGGGAATGGTTAAAGTCACTCACTGAACTTTTGGGATGATTGAATTATGGAAGGGTCAAAATTATTAAAATCATGGAAGGGTCAGAGGTATTAAAATTATGGAAGGGTCAGAATTATTAAAATTAAGGAAATGTCAGAATTATTAACATTATGAAGGGGTCAGAATTGTGAAAAATTATGGAATGGTCAGAAATATTAAAATTATGAAAGGGTCAGAATTATGACAGTTATGGAAGGATCAAAATGATTAAAATCCTAGAAATGTAATTCTACAGGTGGGAGATGTGGCTGATGGCATAGTTCAAGCAATCAGAAATCCAGATATGGTGGGCAAAAACATTGAGTGTGTGGGGTAGGTACCGTTCCTTATGTTTGCCATACTTTAGTTAATCTTCATTATTATTTTTTAATCTTGTTTATACAGAAATTAGTGATCTCGTTTGAGAACTTTTCTTCTTCATCTTAGCGTTCACCAGCTGTAATCGCTGGTGGAAAGTTCTGCGGGCTCATTCGTTTTTGGACTTTGATCTTGTTCCAGTGTCACATAATGCTGGTGTCACATGTCTTTATTAGGGTGTCTCCCTAGTGAACCAAAAAGACACTCTGAAGTTGCTCAAGTGTTGAGATGTTGGCTCGCAATGGTTTAGACGGTATCCCACAGCTACAAAGAACATCCAATCTACTTCAGGGGTGAGGCGACTGAAATTATGGCACTACAGAATTAATAAATATTCCTTGGCAACTTGGACTGACTTCCCCACTACTTTTAAGCCCCCAGACTAGATAGTAATCCTATGCTAGTCAAATTAACACAGTACAGACTCAAATACATCGATACAACTCTAGCCACCACAATGTTTCTGTCCATGAGGTCCTGTTCGTCCAACGCGAAGCATCTTCCACTAGTTGATATTGAAAATGTTTGAAGTTAACACATTTCCTAAGTCATTGGAGTCAAAAGAAACCTTGAATACTTATAGTTCATAATACTCTATTGTTCATAGCATTTAATAATATGCTCAAGGTAGAAAGTTCCTTGTTATACTTTAAAATGTTCCGTACTGGACTCTATGCCACCCTCTGGTCGTGGCAGTTGTTAGCAGCCTGACTACGTAAACAGCTCCAGGGTTGAGGACACAAGCTGATGGTGTTCATCAAGCAGTTGTACAATCTCATGTATACATTCGTGCAGGGACATGAGTGAGGTGTTTACTGTATGCTGGTTACACTTAATGTGTGTTAGGATACTGATAGTTGACCTGGCCTCCAGATATTAGTAACATTCCATGCTCATGGAAGTTTCCGGGTGAATCGATGACTTTCACAAGGAGGTAAGCAAATAGACAGGTAAGCAGATAGACAGGTAAGACCACAAGCCGACTGCTTAGTCTGGAAGCTCAGTCAAGAATCAGTCTCAGATCTAAGCGTCTCTCCTGCTAGAGGTGAGAGGGGATTCATCCACGTTTAAAGTCTCAGATCTAAGCGTCTATCCGGCTAGAGGTGGGAGGGGATTCATCCACGTTTTAAGTCTCAGATCTAAGAGTCTCTCCGCCTAGAGGTGGGAGGGGATTCATCCACGTTTTAAGTCTCAGATCTAAGCGTCTCTCCGGCTAGAGGTGGGAGGGGATTCATCCACGTTTTAAGTCTCAGATCTAAACGTCTCTCCGGCTAGAGGTGGGAGGGGATTCATCCACGTTTAAAGTCTCAGATCTTAGCGTCTATCCGGCTAGAGGTGGGAGGGGATTCATCCAGGTTTTAAGTCTCAGATCTAAGTATCTCTCCAGCTAGAGGTGGGAGGGGATTCATCCACGTTTTAAGATTCAGATCTAAGCGTCTCTCCAGCTGGAGGTGGGATTCATTCACGTTTTAAGTCTCAAATCTAAGTGTCTCTCCAGCTAGAGGTGGGAAGGGATTCATCCACGTTTAATGTCTCAGATCTAAGCGTCTATCCGGCTAGAGGTGGGAGGGGATTTATCCAGGTTTTAAGTCTCAGATCTAAGCATCTCTCCAGCTAGAGATGGGAGGGGATTCATCCATGTTTAAAGTCTCAGATCTAAGCATCTCTCCAGCTAGAGGTGGGAAGGGATTCATCCACGTTTAAAGTCTCAGATCTAAGCGTCTATCCGGCTAGAGGTGGGAGGGGATTTATCCAGGTTTTAAGTCTCAGATCTAAGCGTCTCTCCGGCTAGAGGTGGGAGGGGATTCATCCATGTTTTAAGATTCAGATCTAAGCGTCTCTCCGGCTAGAGGTCGGAGGGGATTCATCCACGTTTTAAGTCTCAGATCTAAGCGTCTCTCCAGCTAGAGGTGGGAGGGGATTCATCCACGTTTTAAGTCTCAGATCTAAGCGTCTCTCCGGCTAGAGGTGGGAGGGGATTCATCCACGTTTTAAGTCTCAGATCTAAGCGTCTCTCCGGCTAGAGGTGGGAGGGGATTCATCCACGTTTAAAGTCTCAGATCTAAGCCTCTCTCCAGCTAGAGGTGGGAGGGGATTCATCCACGTTTAAAGTCTCAGATCTAAGCGTCTCTCCAGCTAGAGGTGGGAGGGGATTTATCCACGATTTTAAGTGATAATTAGGCCAAGGAATTTGGCGTTGTTATAGGTAAAACTCAACATATGGCTGAATTTCAATATATTTCATTTCCAAGAGAATTAGAGCAAGAGGCAGACCGAGAGTATGATGGATAGACAATATATCAGAGATCCTGAGGCAACACAGACTAACAACAATACGTGCAACACACCTAGCCCAGGATAGAAAACTGCGACTCCCCACTACGCTGTGAGGCAATTGTGGACAAGACAAGACGAGACGAGAGAATTAAAACAGAAACATGTGCTCTATTCAATCTCTTGACCCTTATGAAGTAAAGAGAGACTATATACCTATGGGGGAAAGTCCAAGTTTTGAAAATTGGTAATTTACATAGGGGGTTGCAAGATGAGGATAAGTCTAAAACCAGAAGGGTGTTGAGCTTGAGTGTTGAGTGCATCCATTCTACAGATCTGACTTATTTATCCACATATTGTTAGTT